AAAAAAACAGGAAGGGGGCAAAAACTTTTTCACACCACTGTATATTCAAACTCTCATGTGCCGTGATGTCTTTATTGTACGTATTGTATCTTATTTATTCTTAAAACTTGTCTGTGTCATGTTGGTGTCTAACACCGTCGATTTGAGAGAAACATATTTTCAGTCCTCTGTATATCCTGTACATATAGCAGAATTGACAATAAAGTTGAATTTGACTTTGAACAGGAGAAGCACATGTTAAACTGTCTTGACTAAGTTTCAGCTCCTGTGTTTTTGTATGTGGTTTGACTTGACTTTTCTCACTGTGGGCCTCAGAGCACAGTAGTACACAGCAGAGTCAGACACACACAGATTCTGGATTGTCAGTGGAACTGAATTTGATGACACTTCAGAGTGAAATCTCCCCTGGAACTGAGCGTCATTATCTTCTCCTCCATATCTGTTTCTCCTCAGGATGTATTTAGGAAAGTTGTTCGCTCTCTGGATGTACCAGAATAAATTTTCTTGTGCTGAATCTGTTTTATATTTACACTGTAATGTCACTGACTGTCCTTCAACTTCAATCACATGTTTGTCTGGCTGATCAACTGTGTCCTCTGATCTGCACTCTGTAAATGTTTAAGAATATTTAATGTACATTCCAATACAAAATATAACTTACATGAATGTGGAGCTGTATTAAAAAAGAATTCATACCAAGAACAAATAGTGCGAAGAGAAATATATTCCTCAGACTGTGTAACATGACTGTGTATATGTTGAAGTCTAGATAAATCAGTAAATATGAGAGATTAGCTTTTGGTATTGTAAAGATGATCCAAGGAGGAGCTTATGGAGACCAATAAAAGCTGCTGTATTGTTGAATGTAATATTGAGTACCTACTGCCCTCTTCTGGTTAACTGCAAGTATTGCGTAAACTGAAACCGTAGCATTTCAATGTAAATAAAGATAATTCTTTTTTCTGAATTAAAGAATATTCAGAAGGATAACATAACTGATGTAATATTGAGTACCTACTGCCCTCTTCTGGTTAACTGCAAGTATTGCGTAAACTGAAACCGTAGCATTTCAATGTAAATAAAGATAATTCTTTTTTCTGAATTAAAGAATATTCAGAAGGATAACTTATAACTAACTGGTGAACTAAAGGATTGTTTTGTAGGGATTTAATGTAATGTGTCTTTGATACTGCCACACAAATTCACATACTATAATAAAACGTGGCTGTTTTTAGAATCTCTGTTTCTCTCTTTTCTCTCATTGTAACAGGTTTTTGTAGAGAGCTGATGTGTTTCCTGTCACTGTGGGCTGCAGAGCACAGTAGTACAGAGCAGAGTCTGATACAGCAGCAGAGGAGATCTTCAGATCCACGTGTTCTCTTTTTGTCACATTAACAGTGAATCTTGGATCAACAACAGAGCGCTGAGCATCTTTTGCATTGTCATAGGTGAGTACAATAAATTCAGGTTTTGATCTTCCATACTGACGATACCAGTGGAGATAATCTGTAGTGCTAGAGTCAGTAAAATTACAGGATAATGTAACACTTGAACCCTCCTCAGCAAAAACATTGACTTTGTTTGGTTGGATGATATTTCCAAAGACAGCAGCTGAAAAAGAAGAGGTACATTTGTTTTGTTATTTTCTTCTTTTAATAATCAACCAAATAATCAGCCAAATAAATATACATACCGGTTGAGACACAGAACAGAATAAGTGAATGAAGATCCATTGTGCAAGTGTTCACTCTGAGAAGAGTCGGACTGAATTTCTACCACAGTCTCTGTCAGACATAACTACATTATGCCAGATCTAAGTCCCTCCTCTTTTGACACTTTACGGCAAAGGAGAAGCTTTATTTTGTAGGAATAGTTTTTCTTAGGGCCTGACTCATTGCTTCTACCATTATGTGAAACAAATTTCCTGTCCATTATTGTTAAAGATAAATTCTAAATAGTAATAATTGGGTGCATAGTAGATTTTGTTACACAAGTTAAAATTAACTTTAGTCATATTTTAATGTCAGACAGTCTGTCACAGCAAGATTTTTTTTTAAAAACTACATGAAACATATTCTTGTATAATATGGGGAAGCTTTGTTTTTTGCAAATGTAACATGAATGAAGTGTTGCACAACTGTAGTAAAGTTTTGTAACACGCAGTTGCAACCCCTTTTTACCTTTTTTGTTGTTGTTGTTCTTTTTTCCTTTTATAAAACATTTTTCCAATTAACCTCACACAGATGTTTGCAGTTATCATCTCACATTGAGGTTTTGATTTGGTTTTCATAATAAGAGCTTCAAAATGTTACCGTCAACAGTTTAGTCACCAACATTCTTCAAAATGTTTTCTTTGCTCAGCAGAAGAAAGATAATCATGCAAGTTTGGAACAACTTGAGGGTGAGAGTAAATTATGACAGAATTTTCATTTTTGGGTGAACTATCCCTTTTAAGAGCACAGAACCTGATGATGTCGTTAGTGCGACTACAAAAAACTACCACTTGCTCCACACACATCGTCTTTGTTTTTTCCTTATTTTTTTTTTTTTTAATACATGCCATGATCAAAATTAACAGTAGAGATCTTTTTGTTTACTAGCTGGCACTGAACATGTCATGGATTGATGATGTAAAGCTTGATTAAATTTTTAAAAGCTCGCGCTTTTTAAAACTCGTAATAAAGCGGTGAATGATCTTTTCAGAAATGACGCTGATTGACAGAACAAGTTTATATTTAGAATACATTGCAATCACTCTAAAATAGATTACGACAACTCACACACCTGCATTAGGAGCTGTACTTCTTTTCGTGCCTATTTAGCCATTTGCATCGCACAGTTCGCAGCACCTGAAGGATGCGTTCGTTATGCAGACATTCAGAAGGCGGGACCCGCTTTGAAACTGCAACATTAATTGGTTTAATTGCAGATGAGTGACAATTCAATTATATCCAATGAACAATGAGGCTAGTATTTCTGCCGGTCTTGACTGGTGGACTAGCATATAGGAGATGCTATGGTTATGGAGGCCCCTCCTCAAAGCCCGAGGCCCTAGGCAATCGCCTGCTCCTATAGCTAGCGCCGGCCCTGCTGCTATGTTCATTATTACCTCCGACAACAAAACATCTCAATCGCTTAGGAGACATTCTTGTCTACAACCGTTCTGGAAACAATGGCATTGAATCAATGGCGGACTGATGACAGCTCACTCAGGACGGAGCTGTGATAAAATCAAAGACTGACACCACTGTCAATCAACAATTGTGGGAGCGGCCTTGGCCAGTGTGACGTCACACTGGCAGAAATCTGAGAACGGCTTGATTTGAGAAAGGGGTAATGATTTTAGGAGATTATAAAAAAAACCACTGGGTGGATTTTTATCATTTATGTTCAAACAACATGTAAAAGTGCATTTCGCATCCGATGACCCCTTTAAAGTTTTTGTACGACATGTTTCATGTCAGAATCAGATAGATGTACATCAGTAATAGTGAGTTCAGTGGATGAACATGATGTAGCCGAATTAAACCGATCATCAGAGGTATCTTCATAATCACCCGATGACCGTGCATTTTTTGTATGATAAGAATTGTGGTTCTCTGTTGGGATACTGTCTGTACCATGTAAAGCCACACATATTCTCTACTTGTACTATATGAGCAGCTCAGCTTGTCAGTTTCTTTTTTCTTAGAGAATTTTTCCATCCCTTTATCTGGATGAATGTTGTCTCCATCCACCAAATTAACCTATACGATTTTGATTTATGAAATCAAGGTAGAAAAAAATTATATCACAACACACTTTACTTTTTGAGGAAAAAAGCAATCAGTCAAATCAAACCATTAAAAGATTTGGAGTTTGAGACTTTAAAACCATGGAAATATTTTTGCACAGATTTTCATTCATTAGGCTGTTCAATAAATAATGTACCTGTTCCCACAGTGAGAATCAGTATAAAGCATCTGTCCATGTTCAATCAGATCAGTTCAGTTCTCTGTTGAGTCTCTCAGTGCTCTCAGCTGTAAGTCACTGCAGATCAGTCAGAAACACACAGGAACTTCCTGCTGATTTTCACTTTCATCCATATGGTGACGTATACTATGTATATGTGTGTGTGTGTGTGTATACATACAAACATACATGTTCTTATGTATGTATGCAACATTCACATTCTAAACAGGAGCATCTCAAGTGTTTTTGTATGTGGTTTGACTTGAGTTTTGCTTTTGGTATTCTAATGATCCAAGGAGGATCTTATGGATACCAATGACAGCTGCTGTATTGTCAAATGTAATATTGAGCACCTACTGCCCTCTTCTGGTTCCCTCTACAAGTATACAACTACAATATATTTATGGATAAAAAGGGTTTTATAGAGAATAAATGAAAAAAATTAATTGCATAATCATGTAATTTATGCTGATTCATAGTTTTTGTATGAGTGTTGAATGTGTTTCAGTCACAGTGGGCCTCAGAGCACAGTAGTACACAGCAGAGTCAGACACACGCACATCCTGGATTGTCAGAGGAACTGCAGTTTTGTTGAGATTCACATGAAATCTCTCTTTGAATTCTTCCTCACTGTTTCCAGACTTAGAATATTTATTTAACATGTACTTGGGATTTCCATTGTCTTTCTGCTGGTACCGGAAGAGAGTCGGGTTTGCATAAGCAGTCTGATATGTACAGTCGATCGTTACAGTATCACCTTCAAAAGCAGATTGAATCTTTGTATGCTGATCAACTTTGTCTTGAGAATTACAACCTGAAACAGAATTTAAAAAATAGGAATAAATATGCACATTACACACATAAGGAAAATTCATTTGAAATATATTTGAAAAGAATCATGGATTTTGCTACTCACCCCAGATATATAAAACTATGATCACAATGGCACTTTTCCACAGTGCCATCATATACAGTTGAAATTGCAGACTCTTAAAAAAATATGCAGAGTGTGATGCATGTGATGATTCCCTTCCTCTTTCTGCATCTGTTAAAGCAGCAATAAACTCAGATCACTTTGTCTGACTGCTGGGAGGAGCCTGTGCTACAGTCAGTGACAATGAACACTGATATGAGAGTTTTGCTTTTGGTGCTATAATGATGATCCAAGGAGGAGCTTTTGGAGACCTATAAAAGCTGCTGTACTGTAAAATGTAATATTGAGTACCTACTGCTCTCTTCTGGTTAACTACAAGTATATTGTGTAATTGGGATTACAAGCTTAATTCAAGTCAAGTTTATTGTAATTCCCCAGGAACTAAATGTTGTGCCTCACAGGACCAAGGTGCAAGATTTATAAACATATATAAACTTAAACATAGCTCAACTATTAAAAGAAGTAATCTATATACTTTACATATACTTTAAACAAATACAATCCATAACACTGTGCAGTTGTGTGGAAGGACAGTGCAAAAAGAGATATTTAGGGAAAACAGTGCAAATGGAGAGAGTTCAAGATGGCATAAAGGCAATGGGACATAATAGACAGACTGTAGTGTATGTACAAGTAAACATGTCTTTTAATGTAATAAAAGATCTGCACTATTTTTTGTTTGTCTGTTAGTTTATGAGCCAAATTTGTCTCTGACTCATCATTCCTTAGCGCATTGATTTGTAAAGAGCTTACCATAAGCAGGAAATATAATGCAAATATGAGGAATATTTTGGGCCAGATATACTAAACAGGGTAAAAGATATAACAGGGCATGAGACTGCAATCCCATAAAAGCACAAATGGGTCTTGAAAGTTCAGCGGGTGATCTACTGACAATGTGCAAATTGAAGAACACAGACACAGCCAGTGCATTTCCATAATGGCCAATGCAACCAAGACCAGCACAAATGAGCAACTATCACAGCCATGTCAAATTCAAAATTGGTTAAGACATATTTTTTGGGGGGCCCTTAATGGTTCAAATATCAGGAAATTGACTACCGCAAACCTCAGTAAATCACACTACAATCACATTTTGCACATGCGTATACATTCAAAAGATAGATTTTAGCCATAATTATAGTGATTATTTTAGTCGCATAAACAGTATAAAATCACCCGAAACCAACAGTAAGGTAAAATTAATAAAAATATAAATGTAACTAAACTGTAAACTGTAAAATTAGATCATGTGAACTGAATGTAAATTTTAAGTGAAAGAAACCTACTAAAATAGAATATATTTATAGATGAAAGAGGTTTTATAAATGAATTCATAGACTAAGACGAAAAAATTTAATTGCATAATGATGTAATGTATGCTGTTGCATTGTCAGAGTTTTTGTGTGAGTTGAGTGTGTTTCAGTCATTTTGGGCTTCAGCACAGTAAGTAGTACACAGCAGAGTCAGACACACACACATCCTGGATTGTCAGTGGAACTGCAGTTTTGTTGAGAGATGCATGAAATCTCTCCTTGAATTCTTCCTCACTGTTTCCAGATTTAGCGAATTTATTTAGCATATGCTTGAGGATTCCATTGTCTTTCTGCTGGTACCAGAAGAGAGTCGGGTTTGCATAAGCAGTCTGATATGTACAGTCGATCGTTACAGTATCACCTTCAAAAGCAAATTGAATCCTTGTGTGCTGATCAACTTTGTCTTGAGAATTACATCCTGAAATTGAATAAAAACATTATGAATAAAAATTTTCTCATTGGCTGCAAAAAAATATGCACATTCACACATAATGAAAAAGAACCATTATTTAATTGTTCTACTCACCCCAGATATATTAAACTATAATCACAATGACACTTTTCCACAGTGCCATTATCTACAATTTAAATCACCAACTCTTAAAAAATATACAGAGATGTTGTGATCCTCTTCTTCTTTCTGCATCTGTTAAAGCAGCAATAAATTCAAATCACTTTCTGACTGCTGGGAGGAGCCTGTGCTACAGTCAGTGTCAGTGAAGACTGTAACAATATGACTTAATTGTGTTTATATGTACAATGATTAATCTTACAACATAGCTTCCATGTATTTGATTAGCTTATATAACTTTATTCACTGAAACACACTGTACAGTATGTTATTAGACTGCTCTGAATTATTTGACTGATTGGTCAAATGTGCCAATCTTATATTTCCTAATATTTCCATAGCAATGCTGTATAGTCCTATCGGTCTGCTCATCACCGTAACTGAAACCAGAGCGGACTCTCTTGTTTGAAACAAAGGCAACTGGAACTATCATGCGTCTCAGTCATGAATGTTCTTGAAAATGATCTCAGATGACTTCAGCATTAATATTACTATTAAATTGTTGCAGTGTTCTTCTCTTTCTGTATGTTGTCATGGATTTTCAGTTGCAGATAAAATTATAAAATAAACTCAACTTTAACTATAGGCCTAATACAAATTTGTTACCAAGGAATTCAGCCATTAAAAGTAAATTCCTTATTCAAATTAGCATAGTGTATGTACAGCAGGCAATATTAGTCTGATACGTTTTTCAATCACAATTGTTTCAGAAGTTACACACAGCAGGATCTTAAATAAACAGTTGCCACAAACATCATTATGCAACACAGTGGCCAGCATCTGAAATTACAGGGGTATTGTATTGTGATGCTGGAATAGTGTTTCAGAAGTTACACACAGCAGGATCTTAAATAAACAGTTGCCGCAAACATCATTATGCAACACAGTGGCCAGCATCTGAAATTACAGGGGTATTGTATTGTGATGCTGGAATAGAATGAAACTAGGGATGCACCGATACCACTTTTTCCAGTACTCGCCCGATACCGATACTTTTATTTTTGGTACTTGCCGATACCGATGCCGATATCTATATTTTTATTACATTTGTAAAAGAATGAAACCTCACCAAAAAAATCTTCTTTAATGTTCAACATAAGAAAGAAACTCATACAGGTTTGGAACGATATGAGGGTGGGTAAATGATGACAAAATTTTCATTTTTGGGCGAACTATTCCTAAGACATGCATTAGTGTACTGAAGTAACCACATGGAACATGATATCCTGAATGTGTTTTAATGTTTCTTTGAAGTTTTATAACAGGCCTAATTTAACCTCTGACAGGTGTGGCCACATGTTTTATTACGTTCTGGGATAATAGATATTGGTTTTGATTGTGGTTTTCACTATCGGTTCAAAGTGAAAAGAGCTTCAGGTTTTTTTTTTTGGCTTAAATTCTCGATGTCTTTGCATTTTTCACTCTGTCTAATTTCTTTTAATTTATAACAAACATGGAAATATTGACTGATGAAAATATGAACAATATTTATTATTTATAGTCTAGCTATTTTTATAATCAGAATTTGGAACAAGCAAGAGCACCATGTGATTGTCTGCGCTGTATATTACACATGAGAATCATTTGAGATATTTTAACATTTGTTACATTTGATTTTTTTTAAAGAAGATATTCTAAATTTATTTGCCAACTAGGAATTACTTCATCTGTATATTGCCAAATATTGGCTCACTTTAGAATGTTACATTTTGATTATATTTAGTTTTTCCAATAGACTGATTAAATGGTCTACCTTTTGATTTTGGTAGATACCTGTGATTTTTCCATCCTATTATTTTTCTGACACGCATAATATTGTAATGGTCAGTTACAGCTTCTTTCTCTTTGTCTTCATCTCTGTCTCTGTGTTTGTCTCTTTTCTCTCATTGTAACAGGTTTTTGTAGAGGGCTGTTGTGTTTCCTGTCACTGTGGGCTGCAGAGCACAGTAGTACAGAGCAGAGTCTGATACAGCAGCAGAGGAGATCTTCAGATCCACATGGTTTTTTTCCCTTTTTTCAACTTTAACAGAGAATCTTGGATCAACATCAGACCACTGAGGTTCTTTTGCACTACCGAAGGTGAGTACAAGAAATTCAGGTTTTGATCTTTCATACTGACGGTACCAGTGGAGATTATCTGTAGCTCCAGGGTAAAGACTACAGAATAATGTAACATTTGAACCCTCCTCATAAACAACATTGGTTTTGTTTGGTTTAATTACATTTCCAAAGACAGCAGCTGAAAAAGAAAACATTTGTAAGAGTATGTTTGTAAATTTTTAGTGAGATATAAAAAATTTATAATTAACCAAATTAATACTTACCAGTTGAGGCACAGAACAGAATAATTGAATGAAGATCCATTGTACAAGTGTTCACTCTGAGAAGAGTCAGACTGAATAGTTGCACAGTCTCTGTCAAACACGATTACATCATGTCAGATCTGTGAACACTGAGTCTCTCCTCTCTGAGCAACATTATACTGTACCTATATAAATTCTGTTCTGTAAGTTCAATTCTGTTGTTCACTGCTGCAGTTTCTATTGAATGTCTGAGAACACTGCCATCTTGTGGCACAATGTGTTACACATGATGATCCATGAAACATATAGGCTATACTTTTCCATGGATTTTGATGTAATTAAGAATATTAGCTTTAAATGTAAAGTTGATTTAATATTTTTATTTGCAGTTTTGCACCTGTTGATTTGGATTCAATATTTGTTTTGTTTTTTGTTTTTGTTTTTTATCAGATTATTTTATCAGACCTATTAATACTCTACATACAGTTGCTCTCTTAGTCTTTGTCTCTCTATGTGTGTGTGTGTGTGTGTGTGTGTGTGTGTTTTTTAATTTTACTACATAAAATGGAAGGATTTTGTACTGTGTTTATTGAGTTTCCTGTCACTGTGGGCCTCAGAGCACAGTAGTACAGAGCAGAGTCTGATACAGCAGCAGAGAAGATCACCAGATCCACACGTTTGATTTCTTTTGTAGCTTCTGAATATAGACGTAGTTCAGGCTCAGATTTGCTAAAATATTCAGTGACAAGAAGTAAAAACTCTGGTTTTGCTCCGGGATACTGGCGATACCACTGGATATTAGCATTAGTGCCACTAGTGAGACTGTAGTTACAGGACAGAG